CCCCCCATCCCGTTGGTGGGGGAGTGAGTGAGAGGCTGTGTGGTTCTTGGCTGCTGCTGGGGTTAAACCACGACAGCTATGTCAATATCAGTAAACTAACCCGTGACAGGGTACAGGCTCATGAACTGCCTTGTGATTTCCCAGACTGTTCACTTGCTGGATTAATTTTGCCCTGTGCCAACTAGTGCTGTCAGACAACGCCCACACATGATTTGAGGGCTATTGAGCTGATTTATTATTCCCAACACGCTCTATGAAAAGTTGGGAAGAAACAAGTTTCATTTACCGATATAAACCAGCTCAAGTCTCTGAATTGCTTCTTAAAAAGGGATTCAGTTCCACTGTCAGTTTTGATGACTTTACCTTCTTTTTGCATGTGACCAGCACTAGGCTGTGGCTAGTAGAGGTAGGTACTTACTGCAGGAAGAGCAAAGAAAGACACTCCAATGAGAGAGAATGTAGCTGCAATCAACCGTCCCTCCCATGTTTTGGGGGTCTTGTCTCCATATCCAATCGTAGCGAGGGTGATCTGTGGGCAGAACAACCAGAACTTCCCATAAGAAAAACAAAGCCAACAGCTCTGCTTTACATGTCACCATGAAACCTGCATGACTTACTTAGCTCTATGGATGCTCATGCACAGCTTCTTGAAATAGCATCTTGATAATGGGCCAACCAAATTTTTAATGCATCTCCATTGCCTAGAGAATGAATTTAGTCTTAAAGCAGCTGCCTGTCTAGGATGCATTTGCTGCAAGGGAACTCCCTGTGACTGCATGCAGAGTGAGTGTCCTGCCCACCATCAGTGCCCAGTTAGAAATGAGGCTTGCCAGTTAACAGCTTGCAGACCTTTAAAAACCAGTCAGGACTAGCTTTCTCTGGAGTCCTGATCTTTTTAAAACAAAGATGACTTTGTGAAACCTTAATTCTTTCCTGCTCAGTTGTTAATAGCCAACTGTGTACCTTTTCTCATCAGTGAGATTCTGCCTAAACGGCCTAGGAATATGAAAATATCCAGATGTTCTATGCAATACTTGGTACCCTTTTTCTAATAATGGGGAGGGGATCTCTTTCCATTTATGAGTGAACTACATTCAATAAAAACTATGTTGCTGAATTTTAGTCACAGCATGACATAGACTTCCCTGTCTCTTGGTAGCAAAGCTACATGAATTCTGGAATGACAGGAATATTTTATGATTATATGAGCAGTGGTGCAAACCAATACTCCTGTCTTCATCAGAAGAGACAAGAACAGATGTATCAAAGGTCCCTCTTGCTCAGTATCCTACCACCAATGGCATTCCCTGATTTTTGGGGAATGCATGTAAGACATGAGAATTGTTAACCTTTCCAGAAACATTTTTCTACTTTCTGCATCTGAATCCAGAGACATTATCAGTCATTGGATCCTTAACCAAACTTCTGTGAGTGTTTCCTCTTCTGCCCAGGTGTTTAGCAATCTTTGCTAGACCAACAGAACCATTGGCCAGCTCTGGTTTTGCCATTTTCTGAGAGAGGCAGCTCTCACAGGCAGGATACTGCTGTCATGAGAGCAAGGTCTCCCACAGGCACTGTGCAGTTATATCTGATACTCCTCTAGAAGGGGTTTCCCAGAGGCCAAGAGCACAGACTGATTTCTGAAGGAGATTTAAGCACCTAAGGGTCTTCGTATGACTAAAAAACAATCTGAAAATTAACAGGGTTCTAAGTTCTGCTAATTGATTGTAAGGGCACTCCTACTTTGGTAATGTCACAGGGCTAACATGCCTTTCACCCAAAGCACTTATACTGTAATACCTAACATCAACACTTCATCTCTTTCTGGATATGAAGTTTTTAAGAAGGGGGTAAGGTATTTTTGGAGTCACTTACTAGCCCCCACCACAGTGCATCTGCATAGGTTTCAAACTCTTCTTTCATCTCTACTCCATTAGCATCTTTTTCAGGAACATCTTTTTCAACCAGATAAACAAGAAATGAAGATAAGATGAGTGTCAGGAACCCGATGTACCAAGCAGTGATGAGTTCCTGCAAAAGAAACAGGTGGAAGTAGGAAGGGCTGAAAACAGACTCAATACCCACAGTGGCAGAGTAAACATCAAGAGGAGAGAAGCACAGAGGGTAACAGCAGAGCTGTTGCTGCTGGCTTGGTTACAGTCATTGGCCAGCTCAGCTCAGCTCAGCACTTAGTGGGAAATAATGCAGAGATTTACAAGAATTAGCCCTTACATGTCATTTTCCTTGGGAACAGCTTGGAGCAATCTGCAGCTGTAGTTCTGCATACAGCTGGGTTAAGTAAGAGCTTAGCTGCAGCCATGACACAGAGTGCCACAGGGCTCTGTGTGTGACCTTGACTCTTCTCACTCCTTCTGCCCCTAGGCTTGGTCAGTCTTAGCAAGCAAATCTACAGCTCTGCCCTCTCCCTACCTCCAAAGAGCCAAGGCTGCAGGATGCAGTTCCTTCTCTTTAGCCATATCAAAGAGGATTCCATTATGAATGATGTTTTCACCGTGAATTCATGCAATAAGAGCAGACCTTGAAAATCATGTGTGTGAAAACAAAACCTGAGCTTCCCTGTTTTAGAGAGAGACTGAAATGGAGTGTCTAATCCCACTGAGGTGGGAGATGCAGCCACCCAAGTTAAAATCCCAGCAATGTCTGAAACAAAGCAGAAATATTTTTGGTGAAGGTCTTCAAAAGTGGGTAAAAAATAAATCAATATTCCACTACACTTTTAGAGACCTGTATTGTGGGTAGGAGGGGTGAGGGGTAGGGGAAGAATACTGTAGCTGAGAATTTCATAATTGAGTCTTGAGATAAGTGAACTTTCTTATCTAATTTCTAGTGTGCAATCACAGAAGGAAATTGTTTAAGGCTTCATTGTGTGGGGTTTCATTCATATGTTGCTTGTTTGATTCACCACCACCACCACCACCACCACTCTTTGGACTTCAGCTGGGAGAGGGAGATAAGAACGGGTTGTAAGAACTTGCTTTACTGGAGCCACTGTAGAAACAATTTTTATAACAATTTCTAAACAATGTCATTGGTACATAGACTTCTTCCATGATCTGCTTCCTGAGAAACATTTTTGACATAAGTGTTTATGTGCCACCTGCCTTGTAGCAAGTTTGTACAGGGAAGAGACAGAAGTTGGTAAGAAATAAAGCAGAGTGGATATCCCCATCAGCCACCACAAAGAAGCAAAGTCTTATTATGCTGTGCCAGCTGGTATTTTAATTTTCAAAACCCCTTAAAATGTCAGGAATGTCATTCATGTATAAGAAAAATCAGCATGTAGCACAGAGTATCTGCAATTTTTCTACTCCCTGGGCAGATGAGAAATCTCATCTAGAGGATTTTTATGCCGATAGTTTTTAACTTGTAATACTGTTTTGTGAAAATGCAAGAATACAATGTATCTGTCTGGTGTGAAACAGGATGTGTTTGAGTACAGCATCAAGTTAGACTGAGCAAAGATGATTTTAGATATTTTGCCTGTCGAGTCACACTGTGTGCATCTCAGTATTGTCTGAGCTATGCTTCCAAAGAGAAATTTTACCAGCAGCTCCCTCTGAAACCACACTTCTGCTAATCAGCCTCTTTCCATCCATTTGGAGTCGTGCTCCATCTGTTGATCAGACAATTCTGAGAAGCCACCACAAACATGTTGCAATTTCAGAGGTGTTTCTGTCAAAGATTTCAGCACACTTCACCATTAAGGGGATGTCCCTGCTCCCATTCAGTGTAAAGGCAAAATTCCTGTTGTAATGTGTGGGGATGAATGTGCTCTCACGTCGCAGCACCACTGTTGAGTAGAGAAGAGGAAAAAAAGTTGCGTAAATGGTTCAGAGAATAGAAGAGGGAATAAAACTGAAAGAACAAAACTATTTCTTGAATTTCTAAACATAATCCCAAGGCATTGCTGTACCAGTGCATCCCTTCTCCTTCCCTACAGTCTTTCTCTCCAAACCCCACTGAGCCCTGCAAGCTCTTCACTTACTTTGCTATGTGCACAAATAGCTGATCCCAAAAGTTTCCACGTGCCGCCTCGCCTGTCCATTCGGAGCATCCGCAGGATCTGAAGGAAGCGGAGACTCCTGAGAGATGTGGCCAAAACATTGCCCTGGTTCCCAACAGCAACCACTGGCACTGAAGCAATCAGCACAAAGATATCTGCAAGGGGAAAAGAATAAAGCTTGCAACAAAAGTGGCTCCATTACCTGCTTCTTAATCCCATCTGGTTGTGCTGCAAATTTCCCTAGGCAAATTTTGAAGCTGCCTGAAAATGTCTTCTGCCAATTAAACAGATATCTGCACCTGCCACACAGTCAGCATCAAGCACAAAAACCAGCAGAAAGCCTCAGGATCTGTTTACAGATTGATGCGCTGGACTTGAGACACTGTCTGACCTAGCTCAGGGATGCACAGAAACAGTGTCCTAATGCTGACAGAAAAAAAGCCTTAAATTCATCTGTACCATAGTAACACCAGGTCAGAAAATGAGAAATTTAGGTTTGATGGTATCTAGTATTTTGTTCTTTCAAAAACCAGCAGAAAGCCTCAGGATCTGTTTACAGATTGATGCGCTGGACTTGAGACACTGTCTGACCTAGCTCAGGGATGCACAGAAACAGTGTCCTAATGCTGACAGAAAAAAAGCCTTAAATTCATCTGTACCATAGTAACACCAGGTCAGAAAATGAGAAATTTAGGTTTGATGGTATCTAGTATTTTGTTCTTTGAGCAGGTCAGAAAATGAGAAATTTAGGTTTTATGGTATTTAGTATTTTGTTCTTCTGGCTGAGTTTTCTCATTCAAATCTCAAAGCCAGTACTACTATTTTTTTGTAAGTGCTCGCAGGACCAATTTGCTGCTCAACTGAAGAGGTTTGAAATGCAAATCGCATCTCTTCTTCTTGTCTTTTCCCCTCTGCTTTTTGATCCTATACACATGTAAGGAAAAAAAAAGTGGTACTAAACAGCTTAAAACATTCTCAGTCTTTAAATTGTCTTTATATTCTATTTCCAGCCGTAAAGAGTGGATTTCAGGTTTATTCACTTCCAATCATTCTCAAAATAATCTTGTGCCAGTGACAAACAAGAGATGATATTAATATATCCATATTTTCTCTTCTTCACCCAGCTATCAATGAAAATTCATTCTCAGAAGTGAGATGACACTTTTACCAAGAAGGCATGTGACAGTATCAATCCCATTTGCTCACACTGCACTCTGCTGCCTTCACAAACCTATTAGAAGTATAAGAAGTATTTATAAAACAGTAGCACCCAAAGGAGCACTACTAAATTGAGGATAGCACAGATGCACAAAGCAAATTCATTCCAATTTTGTCTACCATTTAGACACGCAAGATGAACAAAAGGAGGGAAAGGAAAGAGAGACGTATTCATGCAGCATCACAGCTCCCCAGAGTGCTGTGTGCTGTGCAAATAAAGAACAAAAAGCTAGTGCTTGGCCTGATTAGCACCAAAACAAATGAGGGTGTCCTAAAAACAATGAACAAATAGGGATGTGCATGGCAGGTGCTCAGGGCAGAGTGAGCTTCTAAATATTGGCTGGGTGGTTTGCAGATAAAATGAGGAGTTGCAAGAGGGGAATCAAACATGAATAATGAGCAGTTTTATGGATAGTTATAGGCAGTGCCTTCCAAGCCTGAAGGATAGCATGGGTGAAATTACAAAAATGCTTCTTTGCAAATGCAGGCCAACAATAGAAAGGTAAAACACAACTCTTAAATATGAAGAGGTCATGAATTAGAGAATTCCGGGTTGGAAGAGAACTCCAAGATCAAGTCCAATCCTACCGTGGTTACTAGTCCATGGCACTAAGTGCCACATCCAGTCTCATCTTGAAAACTTCCAGGGATGGTGAATCCATCCAGTCTCATCTTAAAAACCTCCAGGGATGGTGAATCCATCTTTTAAGAAAGATGGTATAGGGTTGGGATCTGAAATGGTTTGAAACTGAAGGCAGAGAGCATTTATTTGGGGATGAGCTTAAGAAAAATGCAGTGGGACTTAGGACAAAGAAAATGTGTTTGAAGGGTAGGAGGATTTTTTTTCTAACTGACTAGATACCCAAGTGTCTCTCAAATTAATTGTTAATGCTGGATGCCATCTTTTAAGAAAGATGGTATAGGGTTGGGATCTGAAATGGTTTGAAACTGAAGGCAGAGAGCATTTATTTGGGGATGAGCTTAAGAAAAATGCAGTGGGACTTAGGACAAAGAAAATGTGTTTGAAGGGTAGGAGGATTTTTTTTCTAACTGACTAGATACCCAAGTGTCTCTCAAATTAATTGTTAATGCTGGATGCTTCAAATAACTACTCCCAGCAGGACACAGGTCCTAAAGGGCAGAGGTGAATCCATCTTTTAAGAAAGATGGTATAGGGTTGGGATCTGAAATGGTTTGAAACTGAAGGCAGAGAGCATATATTTGGGGATGAGCTTAAGAAAAATGCAGTGGGACTTAGGACAAAGAAAATGTGTTTGAAGGGTAGGAGGATTTTTTTTTCTAACTGACTAGGTACCCAAGTGTCTCTCAAATTAATTGTTAATGCTGGATGCTTCAAATAACTACTCCCAGCAGGACAGGTCCTGGCATAAAGGGCAGATGTGACCTTGTTGCCCTTTGCACTGCCATTCACATGTTCTTTGATGACCCCCAAACTGGCTTAGAAGAAAAAGGACATAACAGTAGCAGAGAGCTTGTGCCTACCTAGCATGCACAAAGGTTTCCTGGCAAATTTGAGTCTCCCCCTCCATCCTTTGTAGCGACAGCAACACCCAGCAGCCCAGATTCTTAAGGCAAACTCTGCTCCAAAGATGAAAATGGCAAAAGTTTCCTGTATCAAGACAAACTACATGGTTAGTCTCATCGTAAGTTTTGCAGTAATTCTGGACACAAGGATATAGCTGAAGGAAACAGATGAGGTGCAAGTGTCAGGGTATGTGTGAGAGAGAAAGGAAAAAAGTGGAGGAAAATACAGGTTGATGAAACAGACAAGGCAAAGCGGGGCAGAACTTTCCAGCCTGCTAAGTACTTTGCAGGAAAGATTTGCCCCTGTTGTTGGGTAAATGTGAAATGCTTATCCTGCCTTAATGAAGGGCAATTACTTCACCAAAAGACCTCCTGTTCCACACAAAATGGGAAGACATATGTGGGTGGTGACTGCAAAGTCCCCAGTGCACTCTATACCCACAGCCAGGGTTACCCACCAGCAGCTTGTTCATGCAGCCACATCTATAGAGACAGGGGCAGGATACAGTATATTCATATGCTCAAATTCAAGGCAATAGGCAGGATACAGTATATTCATATGCTCACAAATTTAAGGCAATGATAGACATATATATGACAAATTTAAGGCACATATTATTCCCTTAAATTTCTGCTGCACAAAAGGATGGGACTTTCCACCTTGTTCAAGAACTTTTCTAAGCATGGGAAGGGAATAGCAGGGAGAAAGCTTCTCTGAGGTGCTCAGCAGAGATGGGCCAAGGGCAGCCTGGGGCACATAGTTACTTTTCCTCTCTGTGAATAGTGGCAAGGAGGAAAGGGGGATTTTTCCTCATGCTCATACCCACAGCTGTTAGGTTCTTCTGAAAACTGCTGAGAGCCACATAAAAAAAGCACAGGAGAAGGAAAAATAACCTCAGGCTTTTTCAAATGTGAAAGATGGGTCTAAGCAGAGTAACAGAGACCAAATGCGAGTTTCACATTCCCGAAGGGATGAGGGTCTTTTCATACAGGTGCTTTTTTGAGAAGGAACATGCAAGGGGGAATTCACCTTTCATTCCTTTTGGCATTTAGCTCTTGCTAGGATCTACATGTCTCTGGGGGTACAAGGGGAAATGGAAGTTGAGATCCTGGAACTAATTCTGTTGCGCAGCTTTCCTAGGGATGCTTATACAGGGCCAGGTTAAGGGAGATGTTGTACTCTCTATTTCCTGACAGCAATGGGAGCAGAGGATGTTCTTTGTTGGGGTCATTTTCATAAAATGTTGAATATGCCATGTTTATACTTAGTGAGGGTTTTTTCTTTTTTTTTTTTTTTCAAAATTCTTTTGCCAAATGGGAGGCCTACAGAAATACACTCTTGGGCATGAATTTCAGCATTTACAGAACAAGCATTCTGGAAACAGAAAAAGGAATGCATGTGCTGCAAATACATTTTCTCTCAGAGGCACTGCCTGCAACAATTTCAGTTATGCTGCTATTGGGCACAAGCATGAGTCAATTCTGATGACCTCTCTTGAAATAAATACTTATATTAGTAGAATACTAGAGAATGAATCAAAATTGTTGAAAGATCAAAAAAGAAAAGTTTTCCAATGTGCTTACTTCTGGCATGGCCAATAAGAAATGTGCTGATAATTTGATGGAAGGACTGTTAGGCAAATGCTGAAAAGCCATTATTTAAAAGTCTCAGGCTAATATTTTTTCTCTCAATTTCTATTTACTCAGGAACCTCACTTTCTTTTTACTCAGTCAGTGTTGACAATGGACTGGAAACTCTCCAATATGTCAGTGTGCAATCACTGCTCCAGGACCAACAGCAGAAACCTTTGCTGCATGCAGAGCTGGGAGTAAGATTCCATCCCTGATGATGGGGCTAATTTCAATTCAAGGCCATTACCAGGGTGATACAGCAGCCACAATCTACTTACCAGCAAGAGGAGCCAGTCTCCAGAAACAGTTTCATACTCCTTGAAAGTTGTCAGGACAGCTAAGATCAAACACCCCAAGACAATCAGAAACCTGGAATGAAATAAAAGGGGAAAACATAGCATTGTTACCCCTCTCTGTACTTGCAATGGGGATAAACCCCATAAAATCCTGGGCAGAGACCTTCCTATTGGCAGGCAGTGATCAAGGGCTCTCAGCCAGGATGGGGGAGGTGGAACTGAACAGTCATGGCAAGATCCTAAATCAGAATGTACCTGGGATGGACATACATTAATTAACTAGTTTGCAATCTTCAGGAATGAAATGGGTGATACTGCATTTTTGGAAGGGATTGTATGACATGGCAGAGGATTGTATTGCTGGGGAGATCTATTCCAAGCTGATGTGCTCTGTGCTTCCCAAAATGTCACTGCAGTTACTGTGGAATGAATCTACTTGGCACATCCTGAGACCTGGGAAACAGTAAACACTTCACAACAATGCAGCACCAGGACAAACCCTCCCTTGAAAACTGCACTGCATTTCTTTTTTCCTTTTCTTTTTGCACTCATTTCTATGCAGATGAAAAGATGAAAACATTTCAAAGAGAAACAAGAGAGGGTAAATCTCTGCTCTCCTGTAAATGCAATATGTGATAAATCACAGCCCCTGTGCTATTGTTTGTCTGTGAAGCTCCAGAACAGAGAGATTTGACTGAAAATTTAACTCCCACTGCTGGTAAATCTAATTCAGTCTCATTGGTCTTCTTTGTAAACCTATTCCCAGGTTCAAGCTATTCAGAATTTTTTATACCCAAAGGGGTAAAAAAAATAAATCAAAGGAGTCTCACAAGTGATTGCTGTGAAGCAGAGTGGAGGAAGCTCATATTCTGGTACTTCATATACCCAGATAATAGTCATCATAATGTGTTTCCAAACCAAAACCTGATCCACAGGAACAGAGGGGCAAGTAGCCATGGAAATATTTTGAGTTTAGTGAATATATTGGAAGGATCTCCCCATAAAAGCTCTGGATCCCCTGCTTTCATAGCTACAGTACATCAAAGAAATGATAGACATTAGGTACTGAAATCATCTAGGGAAAAAAGCGTGTGAAGAATCAAGCTGTGTTTAGTGTGCACTACCTGTTTCGAATTTCAATCTGATACCTGTAGTATGATTTCATTTCTTGCTAAGTAAAATTCCACTTTGTTTCACTTGGTGAAATGAGCAGAGCCACAGCCCACAGCGTGGAGCTGCAGTGAGCAACAGCTAACTCGGCTCAGCTCACAGACACGTCCTCTAACCTGCCTTGGGTTTTCGTCTCCTTCATATAGGAGCAAAACCTAGGACTAAAGGATGGTTTTCTGAGAAGCTGCAACTCCTTTGCAGCTGCAGTAAAAGGACAGAGGGGAGCCCCAGGTAGCTCCTGCCGTATTTTGAGGGGGGAAAGTTGGGGTGAGGGGTGGTGGTGGTGATGAATTTCCTCCAAACACATCCACTACCACTCAGTGGTAGTGACAACAGTGAAACACTTCACAAAAGCCCTGAAGGATTACTTTGCTGTGGCTTTCCTACAATTAGCTGTTCATACTCAAGTTTCTTATGCCATGAAAATTTCAGGTCAGCCATTCTGAGCAAAGTTAGAACATAATGTGTTTGCTCATGCTAAATAATTTTGGATTTCTTTGACAAGTTTCACCTTTTCCCACTCACCAGCCACGCTCCAGAGCATGGGTTATGTGGTTGGCAGGAAAGAGCCTTTGGGTCCAGAATGTCTTTCACTATCTACCTACAACCCAGTCCCACTGGTCAAGACCTTTGGCAGCTCATCTAGCAATTCTGTGATGCTCCTGCCATGCCCTCACGACTGCTTTGTTGCACCATACCTTGTTGTCCCTACCTTGCAGATGAAGCCAGTGGCTCACTGGTTTCCCAAGACCCATGGTCTGTGTGTCCTGCACCTCCATGAACAAACTGGTGAAAATTCAACCAAGCAAACACGATTCCTTTGATTAGTTACAAACCACCTATGCTCTGCCACATTACAGCTGTACCATCACATTCAAAGCCTTGAGCAGCTGCTATTTGGTACTTTCCACTACAACCATTTCTTTATACCATGTGAAATTCTGTCATCTATCAGCTCACAAGTATCATTTGCATGATTTAATGAAAGGTGAAACCCTCTGAAAAAAAATCCAAGGAAATTACATCATTCCATTACATCATTAGCTACTTAAACTAAAGGTGTGAATTTATGATATAATTCAGCAGAAACCGCTGTCAATTAAAGATCATGTACAGACTTTTGTCCAAGAGGAAGACAGAAAATAAGTTATCAGTGAAATCGTTTATCTTTTGCCCAAAAATCCTTGCGGTTTTACCGCTAGAGGGTACCGGTGCTCCACAGAGCAAGGGGATACAGCTCGCTCCTGTTTCCCTTCCCCACGAAACAGAGTCAGTGTTCAAGTGATGTCACCCATGTATTTGATATGGAAGAAAAGACGAGTGATAGTGGTGAAAGGACTTTTCCTTGGTCACTAAAACATCCCAAATGTCGATATTAATGGGTAAGGAGTGCTGCTTGTCTGAGCACTACATGTGGCACAGCCCATGATGCAAGCTCCAGTGAGAGCTCACCCATGAGAGCAACAGATCATATGGGACAAAACCCCACTAAAAATAGGGTGAGAGACTGAGGCTGGAGATCATAGGTCATCATGAATAATTCTGAAGGAAAATCTGAGCGGGAAGTGTGATCAGAAACCCCAGCCGTGGGAAGTGCATGAATGCAGCCCAGAAGACTGGAATTGCAGTCCCAAAACCCACAGAGTCCACAGAGCCAGGGTCCTGCTCCTTTCTGCAGGGGTGTGAAGGGATGAACAGCCTGTGTTGGTACACATAACTTGCAATCTGTCTTGGAAGGGTCAGCTATCATCCTGCCATACTGTTTCTGAAGGATGAACATCAACTGCAAACACCCACAAGTGAATCAACTCACATCCCAGCAATCCTCTCTTATCATCTGCAATTGCAACCACAGTTCAGAGCACTTCATGAATTTTAATCTGTGTTGATGCTATGCAACCCAACCTCTTCTGGTTTGGATCTTGGTGTTTATGAAGTTTGCAAGTCTCCTTGTGTCCTCTTTCTATGGAAGATACTACACAGAAGTCATCTTTTTTCATCAGTCCCCTTTGCTCAGCAAAGATGGTAACAAGGTACATCTTCCCTTGCTGCTTCCACCCATATTGTGGGCACATGTACCACCTACGCCCATATGGTGGCCATGCAAACACAAAAACAGTTGCTTGAGGGTTGCTGAGTCTATATTGTCTTATGGCAATAGGAAAATACCTGAGTCTGTACTATCTAATTTCATCTTTTAGAGGCAGCAGTGTGTGCCCTGTGGTTGAGCCTAGCTGAAAAATCATAACAGGCAAACTGCACGCAAAGAAACTGCTGAAATCACAGAGGATGAGCAGAAGGGAGACTAACACTGACCTGGGGAATCAAGGGACAGAAAGGGAGGAAATCTACAATTTACTCACAGTTATCACACTACTATTCATGAGACATAGAGCACCAAGGCTTAGAAGAAATAAATAGGGTAAAAATAAAAGTTTGAAATTAAAATTGAGTCTTAAGCCTAAGATTCCTATTAAACAGTGTTTCAGCAGGTGGCAGTCCAGACTTCAAGACTGTAAATCACATATACCAAATGAGGATCTGAATGTGGTTCTTCAGCTTTTTAGAATAATCCTTGCTATCATTTTACACAAGTTTTTGCAGCACATGACATTGTCCCTATTTGCAGCATTATGCCTAAAATCTGATTAGTTCGTTGTATACATAAGTTCCAGACCACCAAACAGCAATGCTCTTTTGTCACTGTCACAAGTAATATGCTATTCTAGTAAATACATGTTTTTAGTTTTAGAGATCCTGTTTAACACTTGTATTTTTGAATTGTACTATTTTGGTGTATTGAAAACAGGATTCCAAAAACAATATACATTTTTCCAGAAAAGAAGAAGCAATTTATGACTGTGCACAATTGTGGATCTAATGTTTCTTGGATGAACATCATAGACTCATTTGTTTAGTAAATTTATATTTATTTTAATATTTCCCATTCTTTGAGTTATTCCTCTATACCAGCTTTCATTTGTAGACAATAGAATGCAGATCTAGCTGAGAAATTTTATATTTTTTATACATACCAGAGGACCAGTACAACATAGATGGGCTAAACATTTGCATCTGGCATCTTTTTTGGCAAAATTCTGTGCTGTATGACAAAATATTAACTCTCAATTAGGCTTAGTTAATAGACAGGGATGTGTGCTTCTAGTGTGCAACTCATGTTGCTTTAAGTAGATGGCTCAAGCTGGTCAAAAGCACCTACAGAGGCCATTTCTCCTCTCCAGCTGTAAGGACAGACTAGTAACTTGCTCCTATGGAGATGTTTACTTTGTAAATTAGCTGAATGCCACACATTATGTTCAGGCCTATTTTGGATATAATTGCAAACACTACCTTTTAGCAATGTTTATATTTTTACTACTGAAAGAATTAGCCTACCAGACACAGCAGCCCACTTCTTACATGACTGGGTTTTTCTGAAATCCCTTGCTGTAAATTTAGGTATCACATCTACACGTGGTCAAGGATTCTGGTTACAAAATTCTGGCTCTGGGTAGAAAAGCCTCTTGAACCACTAAAAAATCCCTTCCAGTGTGACAGTGCATAGACTTCTGTTTGCTTTCATATATACTATAACATTTCTTGCAAGTCATTCGGATTTCTTCTGTCTCCAAATCTTCTTGTGAATCTTAGATTTTTTTCTGCTTTGTTTCACTTGGTACTTTCTTATCTTCCCTTAAAGCTTGTGCTCTGGTTTCATTATGTTCTGCCACCTGGTAAATGCTAATGGAATTCTCTAAGGTTGTGATATATAAGGAAAATCTGGCAGTGTTTTGCAAATTTTTTGGTTTAGGGTACCCAAAGCAATATGGTTCGAAACCATGATTCCCACACACTTTCCCAAATTTCATATTGGAACAACCTTATTTTTTCAACTATTGGCTTTTACCCATAAGGATTAAAAATGCATTTTTTTC